CTTGCCAGGAAGAGAAATGAGGATGACAGAAAAGGAAGCATGTGATACATCTGAATTCCTTTTCAACGTGATAACTGAGCCCCTAGATCAGGGTTCAGCAAGCTGCTGCCCCTCTGCCTGCCTCCTGTTTCTGTACAGCCTGTAAGCTAAGAATGTTTTTTATAGTTTTAAATACTTGAAAAAAACCAATATAAGAATAGCATATCATGATATGTGAAAACTGTACAAAATTCAAGTTTCAGTGTCCACAGGTAAAGTTTTATTGGAGCACATCCACACTGCTGTGTTTACAGATTGCCTGTGTGCTTTCATGGTGCAAGGGCAGAGCTGAGTAGTTGTGACAGAGACCACACGGGGTAGCCCGCTCAGTGCAGCACAAACCACAGTGATGCCATTGTAATAATTTGACATTGTTTTAATGTCGTGCATATCGTCATACCATTGTATGACACTGCATTTTATTTTTTTACTACCAGTGTATGCCAATCATGCCAAAGCAAGAAAAGAAAGAGAAAATTTGACTTAGTGCTTTTAAAGCAGAGTGGCATGTGGATTATTTTGTCACCAAACTAGACGGCAAAGCATTGTGTGTATTATACACTGACACTATACCTGTGCTTAAAAAAAAACATATATATGTCACATTACCAAACTCAGTATTCATCCAACTCACAGGACAAGTCACAACAATTAGAAAATTTTAAATGAAATATCACAGCAGAGTTTCTTCACAAAAATGAGTCTGTAACCAAAATAAGTTTCTGGGTGGTTTGTTTGTTAGCCAATTAAGGAAAGCCATTTACCAATAGTGAGTTAATTAAATCGTGTTTTATTGCAGTAGCTTAAGGCATGTGCCCAGAAAAAAATAAACTTACTTAAGACTATTTGCCTTTCAGCAAAAACAGTTATTCAAAGGAATGAGGACTTCAGGAGCAAGATAATTAAAACACACGGCAAATGACTGAGTTTTTCTTGGCTCTTGACAAATCAACAGGTATTACTGATATTGCTCAGTTCTTATTTATTTGAGAAGTAATTGCTGATTAATTTAGAGTGACTCACAAATTAGCCATTATAAATAGTCTGTGAAACAACTGTGGGAGAGAATATATCCAAAGAGGTTGAGAAAACACTAATTCAGTACAACCTGGGTGGAATCTGCTAAGACTTGATACAATTGATGGTGGTTAAAAATGTGTGTGGAGCAGGAGAAATGTTTGTTGGAAGATTTTACAAAACTTGTGAAAATGTAAGGTCCTTAAAGCCTACAGTTATTCATTTTATTATTCATCAGAAGGTACTTTGCAGAAAATATTTGAACCTATTATGTATTTTTTTTTTTCCTTCCTTGCGGTACGTGGGCCTCTCACTGTCATGGCCTCTCCCGTTGTGGAGCACAGGCTCCAGACGCGCAGGCTCAGCGGCCATGGCTCACGGGCCCAGCCGCTCCGCAGCATGTGGGATCCTCCCGGACCGGGGCACGAACCCGCGTCCCCTGCATCGGCAGGCGGACTCTCAACCACCGTGCCACCAGGGAAGCCCTATTATGTATTTTTTAAATAGTTGTATTGAAATATTATTCACATGCAATTCACCCATTTGAAGTACATATTTCAATGGTTTTTTGTTTGTTTGTTTATTCAGAGGGTTTGTGCAACACCACAATCCAATTTTTAAAAAACGTTTTTGTCCCCATTGAAAGAAACCCATTAGCAGGCATTCCTCCCCCAATCCCCCAATCTCTCACTCCTAAGAAACCACTAATCTGTTTTCTGACTCTATAAATTTGACGATTCTTGACATTTCACATAAATGGAATCATACAATGTGTGATCTTTGGGGACTGATGTCTTACACTTAGCATAAAGTTCCCAAGGCTCATTTATGTTGTGGCATGTATCAGAACTTCTTTTCTTCTTATTGCTGAATCATATTTCACTGTAGGGATGCACCACATTTTATTTATCTATTCATGAGTTGATAGACATTTGTTTTTTTCCACTTTTTAGCTATTATGGCTAATACTGCTATGAAGGTTTGTGTACAAGTTTTTGTATGGATGTATGCTTTCACTTCTCTTGGGTATATACGTAGGAATGAAATTGATGTGTCATATGATGACGTAATATTTAACTTTTAGAGCTGCCAGACTTTTCCAAAATGCCTGCACTATTTTACAATCCCACCAGCAAGATATAAGGGTTCCAATTTCTCCACATCTTTAAGAAAACTTTGTTTTCTGTCTTTTTTGATTATAGTCATCTTAGTACATATGAAGAGGCCTCTCATTGTAGTTTTTATGAGCAATTATGTAGTGATTAATGATACTAAACCTCTTTTCCTGTGCTTATTTGCTATTTATATATCTTCTTTGAAGTGTTGTCTGTTTAAATCCTTTGTCCATTTAAAAAACTGGAGCATTTGTCTTTTTATTATTGTGTTGTAAGAGTTCTTTATATATCTTGTATTCATGTCCCTTGTGAGATCTATTTTCATATATTTCCTTCCATTGTGTAAGTTGTCTTTACTTTCTTGATGGTATCATTTATGAAAATAACGTTTTTGTTGTCATATCTATGAAATCATTGCCTAACCCAAGGTCACAAAATTCATAAAATCTCATAATGGGTCAGCATTGGCAAGTAAGCATTTGCCATTAATTCTGATGGTAGGGAACACTTTGAACCCTAATTAAACAAGATATTTTTTTAAATTCCAGTCTCATTTGTAGGCCTGTCTGACAAAAAGTTATACTCAATTATTATTAGTATAGTTTCAATTTTATGAATAAAAATTTTGTGAAGATTTATTTTCTTCTTGCTTATAAGTACCTACATAATATCCTTGATTTTGCCCCTTGGCTTGCAAAGCCTAAAATATGTACTATCTGACGCTTCACAGAAAATGTGTGTTGACCTTGCTCTGAGTAAACAGACGAATGATATTTGCTACAAATGGAGTTTTTGTCTATGGAATGCTCTTAACTGTGTATTCCTGATTTAAAATTGCCTATGGCAAACATACCTAGGATCTATGGATTTATAACTCCCTGGAGAAGGTCATGCAAGCTGTACAACTCTAAGGTATAAAATGGAGAAGTGTCACGACTTAAACACACCCACTGTGTGAGGTGACCCCCAAACCTCAGTTAGAGGCCTCACCTCTTATTCTAGAAGGAAGAACCTACAAAGCCTGGATGTCCTAGACCTCCCCATTCTGCCTGTGCCTTTTGATTGCTTGTATCTTTGAAATTATTAATAAAGTTTGATACTAAGTAAGACCTCTGATATTTGTGAGTTAGATATTACAGTCCAGTCCCATGTGTTAGCTGAAGCACTATTCATGTATTTGAAAACATAAAGTAAGTTTTCAAAAAGTCACAACAAGCAATCTTGGAAAGACTAAATATAATTTTATGCTTGGAGTAGAGAATAATGAATTTCTCTTAAAATAGGTAAAAGAACCATATTTTCTAAAAGGATTACTTGGTGTAATTTGGTAAAGAGTATAGTTACCTTCTACTCAACAATCCACATATTTGTCAAACTCCCTTTAAGCTAGTCTCTTCTGTAAAGTTTTATTATTTATAATTAAATATCTTTTCATGAAAACAAACCAACATATGCAAGTAATAAGGATGCTACAGGGACTTCCCTCGTGGTCCCGTGGCTAAGACTCCATGCTCTCAATGCAGTGGGCCTGGGTTCAATCCCTGGTCAGGGAACTAGATCCCACATGCCACAATGAAGATCCTGCATGCAGCAAGGAAGATCCTGCGTGCCGCAACTAAGACCCGGCACAGGCAGATAAATAAATATTAAAAAAAAAAAAAAAGATGCTATGACCAAAAGTGTTGAATCATTCATACACAGCAAAAGCTAGATTTGATCATTTCAAAACTATTAAACCTAAAAACTATCATCTGTTTTATCAGGTTTTGAAAAAATGATTCTACCTTAAAACTTTAATGAAATGCATTGTTGCCTTTGAGATTTTTTTGCATTCTTTATGGTGCTACTCTTAAGTTTACACCAAAGAAAATCTTCCATCTCAAAACTTTAGAGTTTTCAGAAAAAAAACAGAACAAATTTCTAGGCCATTCTTATTGATCTCCCTTGGAATATTTTTTGTCCTGATGAGATCTGCTATTATTATTTTTAAAGATTTATTTATTATTTTCATTTATTTATTTTATTTATCTTTGGCTGCTTCGGCTCTTATTTGCGGCACGCAGGATCTTCAATGAGGCCTGCGGGATCTCCGTTGAGGTGCGCAGGCTCTTCGTTGAGGCACGTGGGCTTCTCTCTAGTTGTGGCGACCAGGTTTTCTCTTCTCTAGTTGTGGTGCACAGGCTCCAGGGCTCATGGGCTCTGTAGTTTGTGGCACGCAGGCTCTCTAGTTGAGATGCGTGAGCTCAGTAGTTGTGGTGCGTGGGCTTAGTTGCCCCGCGGCATGTGGGATCTTAGTTCCCTGACCAGGGATCGAACCCACATCCCTGCATTGGAAGGCGGATTCTTTACCACTGGACCACCAGGGAAGACCCTAGATCTGCTATTATTAATGTCTTTTTCCTAAAGTTATATAACTTCAGTCCTCAAATCATTTGCATAATTTTACAAGGTTTCTACTTTGTTTTTTAGACTCCTCATAACTGATTGACAAGAAAAAACTTGAAAAGATGGAAAAAATTTATACTATTTGATTTTATAAATGACAACTTCCTGTATCCCACGTTCTGAAAACATGATATCCTCATGATTTTGAACCAAGTGAAAGTGTGTCCTGAATTAGCCAGTGGGAGAAAGAATGACAGGAAGTATTGAGTAAAATAATTTACTTGAGTGGCTAGTCCCTTTATGAAACATACAGTTGTAAACATATTATGGATCCTTTTGTTTGTTTTTCATTTTAAGGAAAAACATTAACTTTTGGACTACGTCCAGAGTAGCACCATCTCATGGGCATTCCCTCCTCCTACAATTTCAGAAAACCTTTGGTAACTAACTAAGAAAATGCAGAAGATCTTGCAAACAGAGGAAATTACCAATACCCAAGCTCTTAGAAAAGGAAAGAGGAAAAGGACGGAGACGATGGACTCAGAGAATGCGAACAGTGACCTGGATAAAGGGCAGGTTGGTGTGCTGTTGTTGTGGTGGTACTTTCTTCCCTTGCTCTGCCATAATTCCATAATTCCTTTCACAATTTATTAGTGCATTTCCCCCTCTTGTATTAATAGATTCTTCCCTTTAATTCTTTATTCAACTGAAGGAATAAAATTTCATGTTCTCTTTTTAATGTTAAACAAGTTGAATTAGAAATATATTCACAAGCCATTTTACCAGCTTCTATTGAAGTGTGGCCAATTATACATTGTCCAAACTTTCCTTGATATCCTGGGACATTAAAGATCAGCAAACTGGCAGAAAATATTTTTTTCCTCCCAAAACCACTGGAGAAATTGGAACACCTCTTCTAAAATTTATTGCTTTTTTTTTTTTTTTTTTTTGACTCCAGTTTGCAGCCCATCCTCATCACAGGTTTGGCCAGGGCCCCTTTCTTATTTGTATTTATTCATTTATTCCTTTTTGATCTGAATTCCCCACTCCCATTCTCCTCTTACACTTTGGACAAACTATCCACCTGTTTATCCTTTATTTTTTATTTGTGTGTCTTTGTAATACATGGAGTGCTTATGTGCATGTATTTTCGTTTAATTTTTAAAATACATACTGTACATTCTCATGGTTTCAAATATATTTTACTCTCCTGGGATAGTGTCTGGAGGCACTGAGAACGGTCCAGCATCTGGCATGCCGCACACCCTAGGCTGCCCCACAACACGGCCTCTGACAAAACGAGGCTGTCCCAAACCCCTGGCAATAGAATTGTTTACTCTTAAACCCAGAAGGTTGGGAAAGCACCAAAATCTGCATGTGGAATGTGCCCAGGCCGACTTTGAGAAGTTGTTGCTGTGAGACCTAAAGTTCTTATGAGGTTTCCTGAAACGAAACATGTCAGCCAGGCCCATGGTGGGTCCGTGTCTGCTAAGCATGTCCATGACCGGTCATATATGCTTTCCTACGGAGGGGCAGAAAATCCTTGTGAAAGTGTTGAAGGCACAAGCACAGAGTCAGAAAGCTAAATTTAAGATGAAGTTTTGAGTAATAAAAAAATCAAAAGCCTAAAAATTATATATCTGTATATCTACATAGCGTGTCTGTGAAAAGTCTCCCACACAGCTGTCCCCACCAGCCCTGTTTCTACTCCTGGCCCCCTACCACATGTAACCACATTTATGGCTTTCTTGTTTATCCTCCCAGTGTTTCTTTGTTCAAATAAAGCAAATATGAATATAGATATTCTTATCCCCTCTTTTGCACAAAAAGTAACTTACTAGATAGGATGCTTTGTACATTGCTTTTTTACTTAATGTATTCTGACAATCTTTCCATTAGTATATAAAGAACTTTCTCTTTTGTACATCATCACCCACTGTCCCCTAGCATGCGTGTGGCTTGTTTCCAATCTTTTTCTGTTTACAAATCATGCTGCACTGTACAACCTTATGGCTCCATCATTTCACACATCATTTAGTAGTACATTGGTATCATAATATATAGCTCAATCTGTTTGACTTTTCAATCAGCACTGTTTTTAACATCTATATTGCTATTATATATGATACGTTGTGTCTAACAAAGCATAGCATCATTTTACTTATCCTTTCCTCCAATGATGAAAACCTAGATTTCCTCCAGCATCTTGGTACTACAAACAATGACAAAATAAATGTCCGCATACATGTCCATTTAAGAAACAGCGTGAGAATGTCTCTGGAATAAACACTTAGAAGGGTGAGTAATGGCTTTCATATGACAATGAAATTGCTTTCCAGAATGTCCACATCAGTCCACATGCCCAGCAGCAGTGCATAAGGGATTCCATGTTGTGCTTCCCTGCCAACACTTAGCATTTATGTCCTTATTTCATATATTTGGCAATTGATGGGAGAAAATTATATCTTGTTTCAATTTGCTGGTGCAGGTTTTGGAGGGGGAGGGTTGTCCAGTGGTTCCTTGAGGGCAAAATAGTCACCTGCTCTAGCAGGCCAGTATGGTTTCTTTTGCAAATTGTGTTTCTCAAAAACTTAATAACTTTCCAGACTATTTCTTTCTGTTTGGTTTCATTGCAAGTAGCTACAGCCAGAGATCTTATTTGGTCATAAATAAGCCTGAAACCTCTCCTCTTTTATTACGGCTGCTCAGCCTCTTTTCTCTCCAACTTTTGGCAGTGACTTAATTGCCATATGAAACAAAAAGCTTGAAGATAATGCACTGAAGCTGAGGCTTGCTGTTGGGGTGGATTTCAGTGTCTGGCAGAGAACACTTAAAGAGAAGCTCTTGAGAAAGCCTTGAGTTCACAGGCTTTTTTTCTTATCTCTTACAATTTAGATGTAGACGTCATTCACTTTTTTCAAACCTTGAAGATTTAACATGACTGGACTCAGTTTAAATTGCATGCTACATTCTAAATGCAGATGGAAGGAGAAAGCCTTCCATTTCTGCAAACTAGCTAGCACTGACAAGAAATCACTGATACACACAGACATTCTTTTTCCAGTCTCAATAAGTACATGGTGTGCCTTCCAAGGCATTGCAGGTGACGGTTTTACCAAATGTGTCATCACCAAGGTCTAACAAGAGTCAACAATCTTCCAGCATGTTATACCTTTGCTCTTTTTGACCATAACCTGACCTCTAAGTAATTCAAACATATGTCAAGTTTTGGGTATCCGGCTTCTAGGTACCAAAATCTGCATTAGTTAAGATGCATGTTGTAAAGGCTGTAACAAAGACCCAAATATCACAGTGGCGTATAAAGATGGAAGTTTATTTCCCTTTCATATAATAGCAAGAGCAGTCCTAGTTGCTGTAGCAGTGCCAAAATGTTGAGGATCCCTCTTATCTTGTTCATTTACCTTCCTGAACACACAGCCTCTGTCTCTGGGTCAAGGTGACTACTCCAGCTCCCACCTGCATGCCTTCGTCTCTGCCAACAAAAATAGAATTCAGGCAGGAGAAGGCCAGCCCATTCCTCCTAAGGTCATGACCCAGCAGTGGTATACATTGTTTCTACTCCTATTTGATTGGCGGAAGCTTAGTCACATAGCCACACTGAGCTGTCCGGGAGTCTGGGAAATGTAATCTAGCTGACACCTATCTGCTGAGCTAAAAACCTATTAGTGTAGAAGAATGGGAGAACAAATACCTGGTGATAGCCAGCAGTCTCTGCCACTGTTCATTTCTCTATTGAGTTTTTATAGTTTCTGTTGGGTTTCTTAGTCTATTCTGGTGGGTTCCTGTTCCATTCTTATTGATTGGCGCATATACCATATCTACTGTAGAAATTAGTTTCGTGTGGTTTTAGATTTTGCAAATATCTTATCCCAATCTATTGTCTATTAACTTTGTCTTCCAATGATGCTTATAAATGGATTTATGCTTGATTTCATTTCTCTCTTGTGGGAAATTGCTGCAAGAACTAGACCATATATTCTATTTTTCCCAATTACTTGGCATAGAACTATGATCTCAATAGGCATCCTTCAGTTTTTTTAAATAAATATTTCGTTTCTATTTAACCAAATGCATCAGTTTTTTTATTAAAGATTTATATATCTAGCATGAGTACTTTAGCTACTTGCCAACATAGAACAATAGTAATTTTCATTACCATTATATATATTATATATGTCACACACACGTGGAATAATGAAATATGTATACATACATAGATTTGTATACTTGTAAAATAAGGAGTGAGGTTGAATGTATACATTACTGATCATACAAAAATATAATTGTATTTTCTATAACTGATCTCATCTGGCTTTCAATTCTCCATCCCTGCTAGATAAGAAAAGGGGGAGGGGGGAAAGCTTGAACTTGTCCATTGACAGTGAATTACAGAGTGTTCTTTTTTTTTTAAATTTTATTTTTGGCTGCATTGGGTCTTCGTTGCTGCACACGGGCTTATCTCTGGTTGCTGGGAGAGGGGGCTACTCTTCGTCGCGGCACACGGGCTTCTCATGGCGGTGGCTTCTCTTGTTGCAGAGCACAGGCTAGGCGCATGGGCTTCAGTAGCTGTCGCTCGCGGGCTCTACAGCGCAGGCTCAGTAGTTGTGGCGCAGGGACTTAGTTACTCTGCGGCATGTGGGATCTTCCCAGACCAGGGCTCGAACCCATGTATCCTGCATTGGCAGGAGGATTCTTAACCACTGGGCCACCAGGGAAGCCCAGTTAGAGTGTTCTGGTGTTTAAAATCCCTTTGAGGTATTGGTATAGTTTCAGTCACTTCAGGGTTTAAGTCTCAATGGAGACTAGATTCTCACTCTCCTCCACTTCCTGTTTTTTTCCTGGGAAGTGTTTCAAGTTTTGAGGAGTCTTACATATCATCCAGCATCTGGGGAGGGACTGCTGGTCTTCTGCCCAGGCTCTAAGTCTTCTGCCTGTTTCCTTAGTGTCCAGTACTGTTACTGCTGAGGCACAGCATTCCCTCCAGCTCCCAGGGGGTTCTGTTGGCACCATCTGCTGACGTTTGCTGTGCTGGGACCCGCTGCCATCTTCTGTAAAGTTTTGGCACCCTGTAGCCTCTCTGTTCACCAGTTCCCCCAGCACTTACCCAGTTCCTGACCGGGACACAGGGATCCTCTGGATTCTCCAGCTGCTTTGCATGAGCTCTGGGGAGTCTGGACATTGTCTCTGGTCCATTTGTTCAGACACCAATTTTGTCCATTTCTGATCCGTGGCCCAGAAGGCGCCATGTTGCCCTGGTGTTGCTGGACATGGGGCCCCTTTAGGGCATTTATGATGTACTGAGAAGCACGGAGCTGGCCCTGCTGCCCTGGGACTGCCCCTCATTCATCTGGATGTTTCTATCATCTACCCTAACCCCGTTGATCCACCTCTCTTCCCCACAAAGGTCGGGGCAGGAAGAGCAGACACTGGAATCTGACTTTCTGTCCTTCCTGCTCCTCAGCCTGGCCCCAGGAGGTCTCTTCGCTTCCTATTCAGCAGGAACTTTCTTGATCTCTCTCTATTTTCAAAATTTTTATTGGAGTATAGTTGATTCACAATGTTGTGTTCTAGTGTACATGTGCCTTTATGTCTTCTAAAGTTTATTTTTTTATTTTTATTTTTTTGTGGTACGCGGGCCTCTCACTGCTGTGGCCTCTCCCGTTGCGGAGCAGAGGCTCCGGACGCACAGGCTCAGCGGCCATGGCTCACGGGTCCAGCTGCTCCGCTGCATGTGGGATCTTCCCGGACCGGGGCACGAACCTGTGTCCCCTGCATCGGCAGGCAGACTCCCAACCACTGTGCCACCAGGGAAGCCCTAAAGTTTATTTTTATAAACATCATACTCCAGGCTTCTAGATTTGGATCTTTATAAATTTCCTTCTGTGCTCCAATTTTCCAGATTTGGATTAATGTAAAGGCCACCTTAGTAATTTGAGAAAATTCTTTTCTGCCTCAACAAAGCCTGGGTTTTACGACTCAAAGGCATACGTTTTCGGACTATTGTCCTGCTGTCCTTAAAAAATATTTTTGAAACTAAAAGGTAGACGTCAGTGCTTTGTTCTGGGTAAATCTTTCTCCTTTCTCTGATGCAATAAACCCCCAAATTAGCCTCATGGCATAGTCTCAACAAAGAGGCTGTGGATGAGGTATCGGGAGAGAAATGGAGGACGTAGATGAGTTACAAAGATCTGAATGGTGGTCTGGTTGATTCTACTCTGTTATACTATTTTTCTACTTTGTGTTTTTCATTGAAGTTAGGCTGAAAGTCAGAATCCTGATTACTGTTTTTTGTTCTTGTTTTTGTTTGTTTTTTTCGCGGTACGCGGGCCTCTCACTGTTGTGGCCTCTCCCGTTGCGGAGCACAGTCTCCGGACGCACAGGCTCAGCGGCCATGGCTCACGGGCCCAGCCGCTCCGCTGCACAGGTCTCCGCTGTGGGACCTTCCCGGACCGGGGCACGAACCCGTGTCCCCTGCATCGGCAGGCGGACTCTCAACCACTGCGCCACCAGGGAAGCTCCTGATTACTGTTTTGAAAGAGACGTGTGTGTGTGTGAAACTTTGATGTCCTCTTTTATTCTGAGTTCCCCTGTATAGTGGAGGACCAAGCTGAGGCTAGATCACTCGCAAGGGCTCAGCTCCCCTCCTGGAAAAGCAGGAGCCTGTAGGTCTAATTAAGTCCCAGCAGCATCCAGAACACAGGATAAACCACGAGAGCTGCCTTGATGCTTTTGTTGTGCCTGCCTTGTATTTTAGAGAGACCCGTATTTGGGAAATGCCTTTCTGCCCGGTGAGAGCTCCAGTGAGGATGAAGACCCTCTAGCAGAATTGTCGAAGGAGGAATTGTGCACAAAAATAAGAGGCCTGAAACAAAAACTAACAAACATCCGGAAAGAAAACAGCCGCCTTCGACAGTCTTTGGTCATGCTTCAAGGTAAACTTAGAGAAAATTGACATTTTTAGATGAAAGGAAAAATACTTGATGAGGGAAAGTATTGAAATCAGCTGTCAAGAATGAAAAACTCAGTACCTTAGAGAAAAAAAATCAAAAACCACATTTTAAGAAAATCTATGATTACATAATTTAATATGGATGTACTCTACTGAAGCCTCTAGTTTATTGATAAAAAAATTTTAGATTATTCCTACAAAATACCAAATGTCATATTCATTTAATACTGTCCAACAAATATTTATTGAGTGTTTAATATAGGCTTAGAGAGAAAAGATCAGTAAGACAACAGATATGTCAAGGTGTTCATGATGTACTTATCTCATTCTCCTCTGCTAAGGAAAGCACTAGAAAATGGGGCCTGTTGTGATCTCTTATAGACTTACTGGAATTAAAGATTCCACATATTAAATTTCAGGTTTGGGGTTGGGAGCAGTGGTTTGGAAAATAATCACATTCCACTGAAGACATAAAGGGGAAAGACGCCCAAGAAAATTAAAAACAACCTGGAATAATGCCTTTTTGCAGAATCCTATATTGTGTTTAAGTGTTTTTTTTTTTTAATTATGTTTTCCACTTGTAGTTAGGCACCATGCACTATTTTGTACAGCTGAATATTTGGCAATATATCCTATGTGGGGCAGCATTCTGTTATAAAACAGTAAATACACAGAGTATTTTAAAAATAAATCCCTCTGGCTTCTGTGTACAAAATGAGTGCAAGGGGCACAGAAAGGAGAGTCGAGGAGAACCACTTTTGAAGGTATTACAGTCATTGGACTAACAGGATGGCAGCCTTGCCTAGGGCAATGGCTGTGGAAATAAAGAAGACAATTCCACAATATTTGGGGAGGCAGAAATTGTAGGAGACAGAACATTGTGGTGAGCTAGATTGACAGAGTAATGGCTCAGATGAGTTCCTACAGATATTGATTAAATTGAAGGCTTCCTAATTTTAAGTAGAAACAGGCACACATGAATGGAAATAAGATGTTTATTCCACCAACAAGCCATTCTCTCCTTATTTTTTACGCTTTAAATATTGCATCTTTATAACTGATGGTTTTTCCTGGTAAGGCTTTTGCAACTTTCGAAGAACAGATTGTTCTTATTTTTATACCATCTGTTCCAGAACGTAGAGTAAGATGAAAAGCTAGTTGATAAAGTTAGCATACATTGCTGGTTCAAGTATTGATCTTGAAGTCACTGACTTTGGTTTGAATCCCAACCCTGCTTACTAGCTGTAAGCCTTGGCCCTGTCACTGTCCTGCCCTCAGCCCCAGGTTCACTTTCCTCATCTACACAGTGGAGCCAATCTCTCATGTCCTTCTTGCCAAGATGATTAAATTAGATAATTGGAAGAAATGCTTTACCAGGGCCTGATACATGATAGGTGCTCACTAATCATCGCTATTGATTCTGTCTCTGTTTTTATTAACACCAGAACTTGACACGTGGACCCCCCCCAAAAGAAAATTAGATCCATTTTTTTCATAAATTTAGATGAGAAAATTCTAAATGCAAGAGGAGCAAATCAGTTTCAATAGTATACGAAGGGGACTTCTCTGACAGTCCAGTGGTTAAGACTCCGTGCTTCCAGTTAAGGGGATGCGGGTTCCATCCCTGGTCAGGAACTAAGATCCCACATGCCACGCAGCACAGACAAAAAATAAAACTAAAAATATAGTATATGAAAAGAATCATCACTATGAACAGTTTCTCTCTGTCCCTCACTCTGGAGTTGCTGTTTCATTTTCTCCTCTGTCTGCCAGCTTCCCACACCTTCCATATCCTCACTCTCAGCTGGTGCCTTTGCTTCATGGAGAACTTGGAGGATGTGAAAAGACTGTCAGCTCCCTGCACCTGTGCTTGTATTAACCTCCACTTCCTCTCCTGTCACCCATGAGTGACCTGTCCTCTTGTCCAGCCAAAGGCAGTATGTCCATCTATGCGTCCTCTTTCTGCTGATCAAGGACAGAGCTCCAGAGATCCTCCCCACTCTCTCTAATGAATCATCCCATTAGCATCAGACATACAATTATTTCTCCCATTAAAAAAACCAAACAAACCAAAAAAAAACCACCTTTCTCAGGCCATTTGCTTTTCTGCCTTCCACCCTGTTTCTCTCCTTCCCTTTGTAGGAAAACTCCTTACATGTTGACCCTATACATTGTTTTCAATTTTCCCCCTTTTATTCCCTTTGGATCCCACTTCAATTAGGTCCTTGTCATTCCATTGTAATGTCTCTTCTCATGATCGCCAATGACCTCCATGTATTAGTTTCCTAGGGCTGCAATGATAAAGTATCACAGACTGGGTGGCTTAAACGGCAGAATTCCAAAATCAAGGTGTCAGCAGGGCCACGCTTCCTCTGATGGCGCTGGGGAAGGCCTCTCTCCTAGCTTCTGGTTGATCCTTGGCCTGAGGCAGCATTAAGACCAGTCTTCATGTGATGACCTCACTGTGGGCTTGTCTGTCTCTGTGTCCAGACTTCCCTCTTTTTATAAGGATGTCAGTCATTTTGGATTAAGGCCCACTCTAATGACCTCATTTTAACTTGATTACATCTATAAAGACCCTATTTCCAAATAAGGTCACATTCTAAGGTCCTGGGGGTTAGACTGCAACATCTCTTTTTGGGGGGACACAATTCAGCCCATAACATTTCATATTGCTAAGCCCGAAGGTCATTTCTCAAGGATCACATTAAGTGCCCTGTTACATCTGACACCTTGGCTACCTCTCCTTCCTTGGCTTCTAGGGCACCACATTCCTCCTCCACTGCTGAGCTTTCCGTCTCAGTTTATATGGCTGCCTCATTTCATCATCTTATCCTCTAAATATTTGATGATGCCCCAGGCTCAGTCCTTGGACTTCTTTCTTTTCTATCTGCTTTCACTCCATAGGGGATCATATCCAATTCTATGGTGTTAAGTCCATCAATAACTATGACTTATCTCCAACCTGGACTTCTCCCTTTAGTTCCAGAGTCATGGGCTAACTGCGTATTGACAAGACTGGCAGGCATCTCAGACAAACACCACCACCCACGACCACATTCCCACTCTTCCCCTGCCACCTGCTCCTCTCTTTCTTCCTCGCCTCGGTTAATGCTAACTTCATTGTTCCAGTTTCTCAACTCAAAAACCACGATGCTGTCTTGTATTTCTGTATTTCTTTTACACCCTACACTCAGTCCATTGGCAAATCCTACTGGCTTCACCTTCAAAATATCTCTGGAATACAGTTCTTTGTACCACCCCCACTACAGCCACTCTGGTCCAAACCACCAGCATCTCCTACCCAGGTTATCATGGTGGCTTCCTCACTGGTGTTGCCACTTCTGCTCATGCTACTGTGTGGTCCACTCTCAACACAGCAGCAAGAACATCCTGCTAAATGTAGGCCAGCTCACGTCACTCCTCTCTGCAGACCCTTCCAGTGCACGTCTACCTCACGTGGGGTAAAACTGAAGTCGGTTTTATGATCTTTGAGTCCTTACATGATCCGGCCACCTCCCTTCCACATACCTTTCTGGCCTTGTTTTCTACTCTCTCCCCATCCTTCTCTGTGATCCAGCCACACCGGACCACTTGCTTTCCCTCCAAAGACATCAGACGTGACCTGACGTCGGCATCTCTGTACTGGCTGTTCCCTTGGCCTGGGATGTTCTTTCCCCAGATATCCACATAGTTTGCACCCTACGTACTTCAAATCTTCACTGTAAATTCATCTTTGCCCTGACCTCCTCCCTCCATCTAAACTTTCAACCTCTCTCCCCCTGCAACATTTTTTTATCCCTTCCCGTTTTGTTTCCTCTTTGGCACTTAAAAGTCTACATACTCTATTCTGTATTTAATATTGTCTGCCCCCCTGCATGCACACACACTAGTATGTACCCTTAGAAACCAAAGTAAAGTTGGCTATTGGTTAGACTTCAAGCAACAGGAAGAGTCAGGAACTGCCAACTGCCACTGCAGTATTCATGCATGCATTTCTTCTTTCAGTCAATATTTACAAGGTCCTCTGTATGTCAGGCACTGCTCTAAGTACCTAGGAAAACCCAGTGAACAAAACAAGGATCGCCACTCTCACAGAGCTCACATTCCAGTGAGGCAAGCAGTCAAAATCATGAAAAATAACAATTAAGTAAAATTAAGTAAATTATACAATATGTTAGCTAGTGATAAATGCTATGGAAAAAATAGGAGAGGTAAAGGAGGATGGGGATTTGAGGGAGAGGGGGTGTTTTACAGTTTAAAATATCATGGCCATAGTAGGCCTCCTTGTGAAGCTACAGTTGGGAACTAGGAAGATGTCAGAAAGTTGAAATTTAATGTATAATCCAAATAAGAAAGGGGTCTGAGAGAAGAGTGCAGAGTGGTTAGTTAACTTTTGCTCAGCAATATTCCTCTTTGAACTAAGAATCAGAGCTGTTTATCTGTCTATAAAGCCTGCTAACTAAGAAAAATAGCAGAATGTATATGCCATTCTAGACATTCAGAATGACAGACGTGTGTGTGCTCTACGTGCATGTGTTAAACATTTGAAACATATCTTGTGGACCACAACTGACCAGCACAATAAGATATAAAAGGAAAAAAGTGGTATGTCTATTGTGCAAAAGGGTATTAAATTATCACTATTTGTAAAGAATGAATGTATACCCAGGGAAAACAATGCCTCAGCCGAAAACTCCACTCTATTAACTAATGAGATTTCAGTAAAGAAGGAAAAATCAATTATGTTTTGCCCAGGTTCATTTAAATATAGTAGAAAGCTGTCAAAGTTTCAGAAATAGCCAAAGTAAAACCAGTGAATCACTGAAGTAGTAATTAGTAAAAGTTTATTGCACATCAAAAAGATACCACCAAAAGCAAAAAGGCTTATCTAAGCCATAACAGTGTGAAATTTCAGAACACCGGGAAGGGAAAATCTAGAAGCTTTCAGAGAGAACAAGCAATGTTATCCGCTAAGGAATG